GGGGGGGGGCGAAAGAAAAGAAGAAACACCCACTTACCTGCCTCCCTTTCTCCCTTTCCCGGCGCCATGGGGCTGCAGCTTCGCCCGCACCCTGACCATGCTCATGTGCGTGGACATCTATGTGTGCAACTTCATCAAGGACATCCTTTGCCTGCCGCGGCCGATCAGCCCGCCGGTCGTCCGTCTGGACAGCGGCCAGGGCTACAGTCGGGAGTATGGCTTCCCCTCGGCACACTCGATCAATGCCCTGAATATGCCCCTCTATGCGGTGCTCTATTGGGTGGCTCATGCGTCCCTGTCGATCGATGGGTCCGGCGAGTACTCCCTTTCGGCCGGTGTGGATAGCCTCGGCTGGCTGCCGGTCGGTCTCGCCACCCTGGCCTCCCTGACCTTCACCCTGACCATCGGCGCGTCGCGCATCTACACCGGCATGCATTCGCTCACCGATGTGGCCGGCGGCCTCATCCTCGGCATGGTCATTTCCTACTTCTGGCAATTTGCCTACCCGGCGGTCGATGCCTTTGTCTTCTCGGCCGCCGGCCCGGCGGTCTTCCTGCTGGTGGCCATCGCCCTGGCCGGCATGCACCCGAACCCCATCGATCCCACCCCCTCCTTCGCCGACACCGTGTCCTTCCTCTTTACCGTGGTCGGGGTCAATGCCGGAAGCCACATGTACCACAACCTGGCCCAGGTCCCCGGATCGGTGCTGGCCGGCGAGCGCGATGTCCTGCTCAGCTTCCTGGCCCACCGGCACTCTTCGCATCCCCTCTCCTGGATGGCTTCCGCTCTGGCCGGCATGTGGCCCGGCACGGTGCCCTTCAGCATGGAGTACCATGGCCTGATGAAGGCCCTCCTGCGTGTGATCTACGGCCTGGCGGTGGTGTTCATCTCCCGGGCCCTTGCCCGCGAGGGGTCCAAGATCCTCCTCCGCCTGGTCTACCGCAGCCTCGGCCTGCCGGATGACAGCCGCCAAACCGACACCTCCCAGGACAAGGGCAAGGTCCCGTCCGTGGTCCGTGCCACAGCTGCCGCTGGATCCGTCAGCTTCTACAAGATTTCCCGCCTCGGGGTGGACTCCGTCTCGCGGGCCTTCGCCTACACCGTCATGGGCTGGTTCATCACCTGCTTCATCCCGGCCTCCTTCCCCTACATCGGCCTTTGATCCTGCGTCCCATGCGGGGGAGGGGCATCCATGCTGCGCGCGTATGCTCACGCCGCGAGTGTGTATCTTTGTATCTGTCGATGTGTCAGCCTGTCAGTGTGCGTGTGCGTGTGCATGCGAGCGTGTTCAGATGTTTATGTGTGTATGTGTGTGTGCGCGCGCGCGTGTGTTTGTATTTGTGTGTGTGTGTGTGTGTGTGTGTGTGTGTGTACATGCGAAAGTATGTCCATGGATGTGTACGTGGGTGTGTGCAAACATGAACGCCCATGCTCATGCTTGCTTCTACATACATACATACACACACACACATCCTCTCCTTCCCCTGGCCCTCTCCCATGGGGGACAGAAGCGCCGCGCTCGTAGGGGAGGATGGGTGCCGCCGGCGGCCTTCTTCCCCTTCCTCCTCCTTTACCCTTCTCCCTTATTCCGCCTGTGTCCTTACATGCACCATTTTTCAGCGTGCTTGTGCCCAAGAAAGACACCCCTCCCCCTCCCTCCCGCTTTTCCCTCTCCTTTCAAAAAATGACAATACAAAACCCCTTGTGTGAGACACACATGCGTGTACCAATGCAACAGTGCGTATTGGTACACGCACAGGGGGCAAAAGAAACCGCACACAAAACCCGATATAGCGCGCCCCACCGTGAGACGAGAAACACACCCACACCCACGCCCACACCCACCCACACACACAGGACAAAGGAAGGGGCCTTCTTTCGAACTATATTTCCCCATGGTCTTGTCCCCTTTCTTGTCTTCTTCCTGCCAAAAGAGGCCATGCCGCTAGAGGCGAGTACCAGTCGGAGGAGGACCACGGGAGAGAGGGAGAGAGAGAGAGAGGGAGAGGGAGAGAGAGGGAGAAGGAAGAGGCAGAGACAGAGGAAGGGAAGGGCATGCAGGTGGAGAGGAGAGAAACAAGCGGAAGCTCCACCCCAACATGCGCACGGAGCACATGCCACCACCCCCGTCACCAGCACAATGGTATCCCCATCCGCGCCTTAAGCAAGCTCGGCCAGCTCCAGCAGACAAGCCAGGATGGCACGAGTGATCAGCTGCAGCTGCTCAATGCTGTAGTCCGGGCGCTCGACCAGATCGGTGACCTTGTGGTAGTGCGGGTCGCCGACATAGCCGATCGGCTCGACGAAGCCGGCCGACGGGTAACCCACCTCGAAGAAGGGCTGGTGATCCGAGCAGCAGGCGGTCTGGTTGAAGATCTGCGCATCCGGCAGGTAGCGCCCGACGATGTCCCGCACCAGGGAGGTCAGGACCGGGTCGGTGTAGCGCGTCACCAGGCCGATGGCCGGCTTGGCGTTCGGCTCAATGACAGCAAGCATGTCACCCTGAATCATGGCAAAGATGTCCATGCCGTCGGCCACCGCATTGTTGGCATGGAACTTGGACCCGTACAGGCCCTGCTCCTCGCCACACCAGGTGACCAGCCGCAGGGCACGGCGGAAGGAGACATCCGCCTCACCGAGGACCTTGGCAATGGTCATCATGGCGGCAGAGCCACTGCCATCGTCATTGGCACCCGGCGCACGGGCAGCCGGGTCATTGATGTTGGCCTCACGGTCGTCCAGATGCCCGCTGATGATGACATACTGGTCCGGGTACATGGTGGCATTGCGGTAGTCGCCGATGACATTGCTGCAGTAGTTCGGCATGAACTTCTCGCGCCAGGTGTCAAAGCCGTTGTTCTCGAAATGCTGCTGCACGAAGTCCCCGGCAAACAGGCTGTCCGCGGACTTCGAGTGGCGGGTGTGCTGCGTGGACTGCGGATGCTCACCGGAGAGCATGGTGGCAAAGTCTTTGGCATTTTTCATCAAGGGAGAGAAGGAGAGAGGGGGGGGGGAGGAGGCGAGAGTACGGTCAGCACGTGGCCATATGCCAAGAGGAGGGACATGAAGCACAAGGCCTGTGCCAGGTGCACGTACAGTGCAGGTCCTCCTGGGTGACACGATCCAACAGGCGGGCGATGCGGGGGTTCGGGGCGCGATCGAACAGGCTAATCGGTGGGGGAAAAAAAAACATGCACCAAAGGTCGAGTGTCAGAAAGGGAAGAAAGTGCCAGGCGGAGGGACAAAAGCAAGCCAAGGGGGGGGGGTGTAGGGAAAAGAAAGGCCCTGGGCACAGGTACGTACTGGGCGAAGCGCTTCAGGTTGGACGAGCGCTGCGGGTGGATGGGCTGAGTGGGGACGACCAGCGACTCGTGAGACAGGCCCTGCTCCAGGAACCGGTCCAGGACGTCGGACGACTGGTAGGAGGTGATGATGTAGCGCTGCTCGTCATCGGCGAAGATCGGCCGGAAGGCGGTCGGGTACTCCGAGCGCAGGGTGTTCACCAGGCGCGGCATGTCCTCGGCATCGTGGCCCTGTTTTTGTTTTTTTATTTTTCCCAAGCCGCGTGGAGGGTGGGCGGGACGCAGTGGCAGATGGTCCGGGAATGGAAAGAGGAAGGGGAGGAAGTTTGCCATCAAAGTGTGAGGGAAAATACACGCACGTAACGTCGAAGGAGAGGGGGAGGGGGAAAGATAAAGAGAGGACGGGCATTCGGAGGGGGGGGGGGGGGATGAATGCGCACCTTCTCAAGGATGATGATGTTCTCATCGTCGCCCAGGTGGCCAAGGTCGCGCAGGACGCGAGTGCCCGGTGCCAGTCGACCAAGAGACCGGGTGAAGGTGGTCAGGTCGTCATTCGGACCGTCCAGGTCCGAGAAGACCAGGACCGAGCCATCCTCCAGAGTAGCGCGGGCATCAATACCGGCATTCACGAGGCTGGAAAGCTCGCCGTCGGTCTGTGT